TAAAATTTTTCACAATTTGGGACAAATTTAATAAAAATTTTCACCTAGAGATTTCTTAAAAATTTACCATTTGAAATTTTTAAGAATCTCATCTTTGGATAATTGTCAAATATTTTCAACCAAAATTTTATTTTTTATTTTTTTATTTTTTTAGATTGAAAATAAATATTAATTATTGTTATTGAAACTTTATCTACATTATTCCACCATCTAGGATAAATTTAGACAAAATTCTTGCCTAAGAACTTTATAAAAATTTACCTTTTGAAATTTTCATAAATTCAATCATTGGATAATTAATATTTATTCCCAAAATTTTATATTTTATATATTTTTTTAAATTTAATCATGTAAAAATACTCAAAAAAATAAACAAATAAAGTGAAAAAAATACCCAAAATAGGAGATGGCTCAACTCTAATGGTTACAGCACCGTTCAACTGCAGGAATAAAAGCTAGAATGGCTTAAAAAGTGGCTTTGCTTGGCTCAGCTTAAGACAGACTAGAAAAAGTTGTCAGAATCTGAAAAATTTTTAGATTTTTTTCAAAAAACAATTTTTTAAAACCCCAAAAAATCTTGAAAAAATTTTCTTGACTGCTTTATCCGATTTTTACCTTTCTCCTTAATTTTCTTTGTGTGTTTGTGTGATTCGTGTGAGCATGTATTTATAAGGTTCTGAATCTAAGAACTCCAATCCATAAAGAAATTCTAATTTTCTTTAAATTCTAACCTTAAACCCAATTCTAACTTTACAAATAGTTCTAACAATTTCACATAAACTCAACTACCTATTTTTTCTTTTTTTTTTTATTTTTCCATAAAATCAATTAGACCCCTGGATAGATTGGGGTGTCTACAATAATCTTCACCATTTTTTTCTTTATCATTTTTAGCATCTTTACTAACATTTCAAGCACCATTTCCAGCCTCATTTGCCCTATTATCTTTTGCCAAATTACGAGTACCATCATCAACCTCATTTGTTTCATTGTTTTTTGCCAAATTAGAAGTACCATCATCAACCTCATTAGCACCATTGTTTTCTACCAAATTAGCAGTACCGTATTTAGCCTTATTTACACCATTGCCTTTGCCAAATTAGAAGTATTATCTTCAGTTACAAATTCTTGAGTAGAGCTCCCTGTTTCTACGTTTTTTTCATTCCCAGATGGTGTACATAGATAAACAACAAAAAGAGGAGGCTCACCTACCACAACATATATTGGAATGGTTTTTTTCTTTTGATGACACAGAACCATATGTTCAATATCAATATCTAAACCAATACATTTCAACCCTTCTATCAAATGATTGCCCAAGAATACAATAAATGTCATTAGTTGTCTCGTACCCCAATTTAATAACCCAAATTTGCAACTGAAAAAATGACAACTTATCTAAAAGATAATCATCCATCCATTCTACATCACCTCATACCCAAATTTTGTTAGGAATACGCATAAATGACCCACCATATGATAAAACTTAGTAGTTTTGCTGGCAATCACATATATAGCAAAATGAAAATTTTATTTTTTAAATGAAATTATGATTTTCTCATCATGTTAATAAGATTTCAAAATTTAAAAAACCCTAAATTGGTTATGATATGGAGTTAAGTACAAAAAATCCCTAAATGTTTTTAATAAAAGTTGCAAACCCTAACAATTGCCTAAAACCAATTACATTGAAGTTAAAGAGAGAATTGTATGTACCTTATTTGATTATACAAATCTAAAGAAATATTTCCAAACTATGCCCAAATTTCAATCACTGCTTTTCGAACAAATTAGTAACCAAAATCTTGATTTCAATCACCAGCCCAAACACCTTCACATCATAATAATTGAATGATTTTAAAGATTGATTGCTGAAAAAAGAGTTTTAAAAGACGAAGATCATATTAAAGGAAGTTTTGTTCAACTTTTTGTTAACTATTCAACTGTTTCTGTGATGTTCGTGGCTTGTGTTATATGAATGTCAATTTGGTCATTTTATGTTTAACGACGTTCCAACAAGTGATAACGGAATAATGATAGAGTGGTTATGTGTCACATTTTAAACTCCAAGAGCACTTTTCATACTACCTTTAATCACAGGGTAAATTTGCATTTGTCAAATTTATTAAGAATGAATATTTTAATGTTAAGAAATAAATTGAGATAATACTTATGTCTTATACCAACATTGAAAAAGTAAAAAATTTGTAAGTTCAAAAAAAATATATTGTTTGATTGTTAATAAGTTATAATATAATGAATTAATTATAATATTTTTTAAATAGTAATGAAATTAAAATAATCATCATGATATTAAACTAAATGTCCTTATATATAATATTTGATTTTAATTTTTGGTAACATTTTTTAGAAGTTTGATAACATTTGATAAAATTTTGGTAATGTTTAATACAATTTTCGTAACCTTTAATTCTATTTTGGTAACTTATTATATGACTTAGGTGCTCATTAAGACAATTTTGGTAATTTTTAATAAAATATTTGTAAGTTTGATATAATTTTGGTAGACTTTAATACAATTTTGGTGTTTATGATATAATTTTGATAACCATTAATATAATTTTGGTAATCTTGGATATAATTTTAGTAAATTTTGATATAATAGATAACCTTTTCTATATTGGAATAATCTTTGTTAGAAATTTGATAACAATTAATAAAATTTAGTAACGTTTAACACTATTTTGGCAAATTTTGATACAACTTTATAACTATTTATATAATTTTGATTTTGATAAATTTTAATATATTGTGATCACCTTTATTATAAGTTTTATAATTATTCGTAAAATTGTAGTGACCTTTAATACAATTTTGGTAATCTTTTTTTCTATTTTATAACTTATAATATAATTTGGGTAATTATTTATATAATTTTGGTAACATTTAATAAAATTTTTGTAAGTTTGATATAATTTTGGTAATCTTAGATACAATTTTAATAAGTTTTTATATAATTTTGATAACTTTTGATACAATTTTGGTTTTGGTAAACTTTTATATATTTTGGTAATTTTTATTAGAAATTTGATAAATTTTGATAAAATTTTATAAGCATCAATAAAATACTGGTCACATTAAGTGTTAGTTTGGTAACATGATATAATTGTGATAACTATTAATATATTTTAGTAACTTTTGATAAAACATTGATAATCTATTGATGTAATTTTGATAACCTTTCATATAATTTTCTTAACTTATTAGATACTTTTTGTAATATTTATTAGCATTTTGGTAACAATTTGTAAAATTTTAGTAATCTTTAATACAATTTTGATAACTTATACTTCTACTTTTATAATTATCACTACTAGAAAAAATTGTTTTAATAATAGTTAATATAGTTGTAAAATGATAATTTATCGTTGCTAAAGCTTTTTGCAACGAAAAAAATTATTGCAAAGTCATTGCACGTACTTTCATTGTTAAAAGTATACACAACAATTTTTATCATATCGAAAGTCATTATAAAAAAAGTTTATTGAAATAACTTTTTTTCATTGATAAATAAATTATGTTTAAGCAATGATATAATATGATTGTCAAAACTGTCTTTTAACAACTACATATTTGGTTACTAAAAATTTTACGCAACAACATTATTTTTATTGTCTAATAATTTTTTACTTCATAATATTTTTTATTGTAAATTATCTTTAACAACAATTATTTTATCATTTCAATAAATAATTTCATAATGACAATAATCATTGTAAAAAATTTTTTTAAAACCACAAATTTATCATTTCTAAATATTTTTTCAATGACATAAGAAAATTTAATAACCATTATAATTGTTACAAATAATCTTTTCACAATAAAATTTTTGTTGTTACAACTGGTAAACAAATTAACAATGGCCTTATTAATATTAGAAACAACAAATATTATTATCCAAAATTATTGCACAACATTGTCTCATCATGAAAATCCTTTTTTTTTTTTTTTTGTAACTTTTATAAAAATTAACACTCTATGGTTTCAACAAATCTTTGCTCACTAAATTTTTATAATGGCATCATTTTCAATACATTTCTTTTAAAATATGTTAAAACAATTAAAATTCTTACACAAGTAAAGAATGTAATAAAGTATATTACAACAATTAAAATTCCTAAACGAGTAAAAACAATTATGATTGTAATCTAAGGTCTAACTCACGACTCCATATTAAGTTGATTTCACAATTGATGCTGTAGCAAATTCACATATTTGCTCATTTGGATGGTGTAGCAAATCCTTAAACCTTCCTCCTAAGTACTACATGGTTCTCAATTCATCACCTGCTTCTATTTTTTTCCTTGAAAGAAAAAAAACTAAGAGAAATAGTATCACATAATGAAGTAGTGAATAACAGAAAGAGAAAAAAAAAGAAAAAAGAAAAGAAACCCATCTTCTTTTGTTAACTTTTTGTTGCGTGCAATTCATTTTTCCTGACTTCAACTTGTTATTCAAATTCTAATAAATAAATCCAATTAAGATTTTAAGTATAAAATTTATGTATAATTAAGATTTACCATACTATCAAGGCCATTAAGTCGTCGGAGATTTTTTGTTTCCACAGCTTTGCAAGAAATATTGTAAAGACAAAATAGACAATGGCCATTTAAATGTATTTTGCCACTGTTTGGCATCTAAAGCTTTGAAAGCTAAGTTGACCAGCATTTTGTTGTAGGAAAAATAACTAATAAAAGATAGCACATGAACTTAAGACACACAGTAGCATTCAAATGGCCATGATTCTACCATTGGAGCAATAAATAAAATGCTTTTATCGCTTAGGACCAAAAGTAAGATGCCTGAAACAAAATGTGAATGTAGATATCATGGATTATAAGTACCTAAATTGCAAGCCCATATGTTGCTCTATTAGGTCTTAGATCACTTTTTTTCAACTGTAGAATCGCCTAGGAAACACCCTTCCATAGATACAGTAGGATACAAGTATTCAGAATCTAGCAAGCATTTTGCCAGTGAAAATTATTATATCATAATTTAATGGATTGAAAGAAGTCATAGAATGTCAAAAAGAACAAGCATTGAAATGCTCACATACAACATTAATTATAACTAGATCAGGTTCAGCACTTGGATCCCGATTCTTGGGACACATTTTTTTAATTCTTTTACAAAGTTTCTGCCTTATGCACTCAATTATGTTCAAGAGTTCCTTCAAAAGACCAGCTTGCCAAATGGAATAGCAATATTGTTATATGCAGCTAAATCAGGATATTAATCTATCTATCTCTCTGGCAGTCTCCCTTAACAGTTTAGGAGTTAAATATTAAACCAACAACATTGCATAAATACTAAAAAAGATCTCTCATTGCATAAAGTGATAAAATAGTGAAAAATTACAAGCATCATATTGAAATCCTAAAGAGCTTCTTGAGGCCTTCTCACCTTCCCAAGAACTGAAAAAAATTTTATGTAAATAAAATTACAAAAAAAATTAACTTGTTCATAAGATATATTTTACGGTCTTAAGACATCATGCCAACATCAAATTACCTAATTGTTCAACAACTTTATTTTCAACTAAAATTAAAAGCCAAAAAAAATCATCATAAATGAAAAACCTTATGCAGATGAATTGAATCCAATGAGAAGGGAAGAAAAATTACCTAGTTTCACTATAATAGCACTATAATCCATACTTATATGCTTTTGAAAAGGTAAATCTGCACATACCAATAAAAGGTATACCAAAAGAAGACATCTAACAACAATAGTGCCCTTCGAGATAATCCTCTCACCCACTTTTGTAAGGGCTTAAAAATATCCACAAAATTCATTAGTCAAAATAAATTAAAAAATCAAACACAAGATATATTATCTTTCAAAATACAATGAAGGAACTCTTAGAAAGGCCAAAAAAGCCATTGTGAAAAGCACATGGATATACTTATATCATCAAACAAATAAATAGTTAAAAGAATTGGATTTAATCCCCCATAAGCATACTTCAGCATCAAATAAAATGCAAAACTTTACTTTCTTTAAACAACCTCATAGGGCATAATGTTAATACCTTTTAATTAAATAATCTCTGTTTCTATCCCAAACCTATGCATCTTGTAAAGCATATGCATAAACAATGTATACAATTACATGGCAACAGAATAGAAGTCAGTTCACAATTTCAAATATGTATTGAACAAAAGAATTACGTAAGCAAAAAAAACATAGGACTCACCTTTTACCCACTTTTAAATCATGCATTTTCTGCCCATTACTACAACATCTTGAGGTACCCTAAACAAAATTAAGGTCAAACTCAGATCATTGACAATGTCTATAATACAAAGCATCACAAGGTCATGATATAGACAATTTAAGCACAAAATCAAGTCAAAATCTTGGTTAAGATATCCACTTCACATATATGCTAGTTAAAAAGACATATCAAATCAATATTCCATAGTTCATTCAAACAAAAAATAACTGTTAAAAAAATTCAATTTGTTAACAATACCAGACAGCAAAGTGAGGATCAATTTGACGAAAGCATTAAAAATATTGAATAAAAGATGATTGTTTTGCCATTCCTTGAAACATTTAACAATGGGAAACATAGGTTTGAGAATGGGGTGTCTCTCGAATAGACTAAGCGAACTGCATCTCCATCCGTTGCATTCATGACTAACTTATATGGTTACAAGTTTGATGCTTTATCTATGAAAAAATATATCAAAAGTTAACAAATAGGAATTAAAGTTTAGGGTTAGTGCTTAAATTACCTGGGAGAAACATTAGGAGAGACAAAAAAAAAAAAAGGAAAAAAAAAGTTTGGCCTTTTTAGCCATTGTTGTACTTTTGCTAGGTATCTAAAATCCAAAGTTAAGCTCCAGTGCTCCACCTCTCTTGTCTCCGCATCTGCCTTGAACTTGAACTAGAGTAGGCTCGATCGCATTTTATCCAACCTTGCGAGAATTTCCTAAAACCTCATATTAAATTTGGAATCAAATTATTTCATCTTATGAATATTAAACAAAACAAATCAAAATAGAAAAATTTTTCCCGTTTAACCTGTTTCACAAAATTAAAGAAATTGGAATCCAAAAAGAATAGGAAAAATGAAAAGAAAATGAAAAGACATTCAGGACAATTGAAACTCACCTTAAAGAGATAAAAATGAATAAAGAAGGGACGGTGGAGTGTGTGGCCACCGATAGTGAGGGTTGGTTTTGAGTGGGGAGAGAAATGGTGAACATGACAACAAAGTTGAGCAAAAATTTCATTTAAAATATTGGGGGTTGGAACGTCGAGAATTGTTTGGCTTTAGAATTTCATTAGCCTGATTCTCTTTTCATTTTGGACTTACTTTATATTTTTACATTTATATACATATTTTTTTGAAAGAGAAACATAAAAAGTCAATTAAATCATTGATTTTTAAACTTAAGCCATATTAAAATATAAACACAATTAACTATTAAATGTAAACTAATAAGATATAAACTAATAGACCAATATTATTGAATTAAGTAATTTTAATTTTTTAAAATGGTATAACTTATAATCTACTTCTTATGATTTATTAAGTTACATTTTAATGAATAAAATGTAAATATCTTTTTTTTTTTCTTATAGTAAAGTCATGATATCTTCAAGTTTTGCCCAAACTTAATTATTCTCGGAATGATGTTATGTAGCTATTTGTATTTGTTACAAATATTAGCATTTTTTAAGTTAATTAACTCTTAATTCTCCATGTATGTTTTATTGACTTACCTTAACTACTTTATTGAAAATATAAAAAAATACTATTTCAACTCATTATGATAAATTAAATATTTTATAAGTTAACTTGGAGAAAAAGAATAGTTGACCTCTTCATATTTTACAAATACATTTACAAGATTAAGAAGTAAAATTTATCAATCATATATATATACATACATACATACATGTATATATACACCATGTTGATGGTGATCTTTTTTAACAAAATTTGTATATTTATGTTTGCAAACTTAAAAATATAATAATGAATATAATAGTATTTTTTGGAAAATGATAATTTATAAAAAAAATTGATCCAAACGTTAATTATGCATAATTTTAAAAATTATTTCAAATCTAATAAAAATTTGTGACGACAATTTTTTTAAATGATAGAAATTTTGTAATAATTATTTTAATCATTGACTAAAATATTTAAATATTAAAAAATTTATAATTTGGCACCAACGGTAAAAAGTCGTTGCAAATCTAATAAGCTTCCAAAACGATTTTTTTTTTTTATCATTACAAATACGATGAAGATATCATAGCAACTTTTTTTTGTCTTTATATAAAATATTTTAAAAGTTAATTAAGTAACGACAATAAAAAATTATTGCAAATATAATAGGATTTCATAACGATTTTTTTTTATCATTACCAAATTTGATAGGAATTTGTAACAATAAAAATATCAATATATAAAATATAAAAAAAATTCAAATAAGCAACAATGACAAAAAATTGTTGCAAATATAATGAGATTTTGCAACAATATTTTCAGTGACTACAAATTGTTGTTGCTAAAAACTCATTTTCTAATAGTGTATGATATAATTTTGGCAACATTTAATAAAATTTTAGTAAGTGTGAAATAATTTTGGTAACTTTTAATGCAATTTTGGTAATTTTAGGTACAATTTTGGCAACTTTTTATATGTTTTAGTAATTTTTGTGAAAATTTTGATAAACTTTGATAAAATTTTGTAATCATAAGTGATTACTATTTTGTTAATATGATATAATTTTAGTATATATTAATAAAATTTTAGTAACTTTTTATAAAACATTGATAACTTACCAACGTAATTTTGATAATCTTTCATATAATTTTGATAATTTATTATATATTCTTAGTAATTATTAATATAATTTTGATAAACTTTAATACAGTTCTTATTTGGATAATGTTTGACATAATTTAATAATCTTATATATAATTTTGATAAATTTTTATATAATTTTAGTAAGCATCGATATAATTTGGTAACCAAAGACACGTGGGAGAACCTTTGCTACACTCACGTAGCAGCTTTGACCTTACATAAACACACGTCTCTCCTCCCACTTTCCACATTAAGAAACTAAGAAATCGAGTTATAGTCTTCCTTTTTACTATTAATCTAAAAAAAAAATGCATGGCATACCCTTGAAGACATTGTGCCAAACCTTGAAGTTGAAATCTCTCACGGAAAAGTCAAGCTTCATGACTATTTCAACAATGGCTGGACCATCATTTTCTCTCATCCTGGTGTAGGCTTTTTTTTTTTTTTTTTTGTTTCTTTAATTCTCTTTGTAATTATCTTGGAATATAAGATTTTAGTTGTGATCTATCTTATGTTGGGTTGGGTTGGTTTATGTTTTTGCTTGCAGCTGATTTTACATCAGTATGCACTACGAACTTGGCAAGATGGTAGCTTTCCAGCCGGAGTTTGAAAAACGAGGGGCAAAGCTTTTGGCTTTCTTTTGTGATGATGTGCAGTCGCACAACGAAAGGATCAAGGATGTTGACGCCTAACATTTTTATTGCAAATTTTCAATATAACTTTTTTTTTTTTTAGTTTCCTTTGAATTTTTTTTTAAGTTTCCTTTGAACTTAAATGTGAGAAGCGTGTATGGCTTTTATATCCACTTTGACCAATTTCTTTGTTACTTTGTGCATGTCTTAATTGGTTGCATGGTAGCCTGGGTGCAAGGTGATATACCCAATCATCACAGATCTAAAAAAAAAAGATCCTCAAGCAACTTAACATGGTGGACTTGATGCCAAAGGCTTTTCAGGGAACCAACTCCCAAATGGAGCTCTTCATATTGTGGGCTCCGATAACAAAGTGATGTGTTGTTTTATACGTAGCTTTAGCATAATTAAAGCAAATCTAAATAAAGCTATCGCGAAAAAAAAGAACCCATGCTTTGTTGCTAACAAAAAAATTGGATGATATAGATTAAGCTGAGCTTAGTATCAGGGATTTAAATTACGATAACGATCACATTTTCGATCGTATTGTGTTTGTCACGGTTGCGAATATAACGGAGATTTTAATGGTCATTGCGACTATTGCGATCGTGAATTTTTTAAATTTTGCTTAACTTGCTATAAAATATAATAATTTTAATTATTAATCATAAAACCTCTTATTTTATAATTTTTAAAGTAATTTATATTATATCATGTGTTTTATTTATTTAAGAAAAAATATTTATAGTAAAATATTCATATTTAAAAAATTATTTATATGATAATTAAAAATTAAAAAGAGATAAATAAATATATAAAAAATAAATAATCATAACAAATAATATATTTAATTATTTAATTACCGTATTCATCAAATTATTATCGAACTATATTATGCATAAATCAAATAATAAGTGATTAAGTATTCATAAATTAAGTAAGAGCATTATAATTTATGAGTCAAAAGAATTGCTTTTTATGAACTTACAGTAAATCAAACTGGATAGCCTCCATGTTATGGGCGATTTTCAACAATAATAACCTCAAGTCTACTTCTCCTATCTCTTGACTAAATTGCACAGACCCACACAACTTTTCATCCTTCACCTTGCATTCAATAATTTTTTTTCTCCAAACTTTTATCCACATCCCCATCTCTCAGTTCTCTTTTTATTTGGTGTGTGCTATCTGCTTGCTTCTGTAAATTTCAAGTTTCACTCTCATCTCTTGTCTCTTATTTTAAGTCTCAGCAACTCTTGCCTCCTTCTATCAATGTAACATAGTCCAATCTAATCCCAAACACATAAAATCATGACAAATTTGAAAATTAAAAAAAAAAAGATAATTTGAATGTTGAATTAATTTTTTATTTTAAATTGCATATACTTTATTTTGATTGAAGTTGAACTTGAGAGAATTGATTTTTTTTTTAAATTTAAGTTTTGTGGGTTTTTTTTTTCTGAATTTGTAAATCGATGCTTATTTTTTTATTTGTTGTTTTTATTTTAAGTTTTTAAAGAAAATCAAATGATTTTTTTTTTGAATTTTTGAATGAAAATAGGAATAGCGGCAATAACGATAATAGCGGGTAATAGCGGATTGTTATTGTCGCTATTCATCGTTATATCGTAATTCACAGTCACGATTCATCCGCTATAAACGAGATTTAAATTCTCTCCCATTTTTTGTTCAATAACAGTGGCAGATAGTAACGCGACCACGAAATAACGGCCGCGACACCACTATCCGACCGCTATTTGAATCCTTGCTTAGTATATCCAGCAATCATTGATCGTAACATGGATGAAGTGTTGAGGGTCCAAGATGCCCTGCAGAAGGTATAAAAATATAAGGTTGTCACACTAGTGAATTGGAAACCATATGATATTGTGGTGATTTCTCTTGCGGTGACCAACGAAGAAGCCAAAGAAATGTTTCCTCAAGGTTTTGAGACTAAAAAGCTTCCATCCGGGTTGGAATACCTGCGCTTCACTCGTGTCTGATGGTAAGAAGACTTATAATATCTCCTAGTATCCACTAATATTTCCTAGTATCCAATAAATATGCAGAAGGCAAATAGATAGTACATATCCAGGACTATATGGTTTCCGAAATGTTATCCTTGTCATGCAAGTTTTACCCTGTAAGAACTACTTACAGCTAAATAAAATTAAATTTTATTTGCGTTTGCCAGGGGTAGAACGCGGATTTATTACTTGGAAGAAAATTATCCAAACCGTTGGACTACAAACACGACATATTCTCTAAATAGATCTTTCTTTTTTGGTAACTCTCAGATGCGAAGGCGGGCAATATTCATTTATTTTTCATTCAAATTTGGTTAACAACAGAAAATGAAATAAGGTACTCTACACATAAGTATTGACCCTGTCAGGCTTTAATCACATGCTAAAAGACTGAAAATAAAGTCCAGTGGATCCAGGTACACATTTCAATTAACATTTATTGGCCTTGATAGACATCTGAAATACTTGAGTCTAGAATCTAGATAATTTAAGCGATTTATACGCATTGGTTGATCAGTTTGAAAATACTACCATACTATACTTGAGAAAAAACAAACTGCTTTCGGCTGTCTTGTTGAGTGCACAATGTAACAATATTTTACTTCTCCAGGATATGCAAACTGGTCGAGCTTATCTGTGTGGCCCATATGTCGCACGCAATGAGAGCAGCTGATCTTTTGCTTTCTCGTTCTCGATAATAGGCTCAATTGGATGCCAGATCATTGCTCCACTCCAATCATAAACTGTGAAAAACTGTACCTTTGAAAAAGCAAGATGCACTGTAAATTACCATCCGTCATAGCTTATGGCATTTCATACCATTTTCAAACTTGTGGTTCCCACCTCCAGCCTAACAGTCAAAAAGTTCTCCTGACTTATGCAGTAAATCTCGGAATCCTTTCCATACCAATAACGTAACATAACAAGGTCTGCTTTAAGCTTGTTCTTCTTCTTACAGTTCTTTAGCACTTTCATCACCAAAACATTCCCACTAGGTAGCATAAAAAATGCAGCATCCGCAAAACCACCAACTCATCTTTACGCTTATAGCATTAGCCTTACCTGTCCTCAGTGCCAACCTCTGCCGCAGCTTCTGCGGCACCATTGCCATAAACTACCCATTTGGCGTCGACGATGGTTGCGGTGCTCCGCAATACCGGCAAATGCTGAACTGCACCAATGACCTGTTCTTTATAGCCACTTCTGGGCGCTACAAGGTCCAATCTATTGACTACCAGAAGAAAACCATGGTGGTATACGATCCAGCCATGTCCACATGCTCGATACTACAACCCCACCATGACTTTGTCATGACGGATATTCAATCGGTTATAATCCCTCCAACTTCAGACACTGTTTTCGCTCTCCTAAATTGCTCCATCGACTCTCCAGTACTCAACCACTACAAGAATCTTTGCTTCAACTTTTCAGGTCATTCCTGTGATGAGCTTTATGGTGCTTGCAATGCTTTCAGGATTTTTCATTCGCTGACTAATAGTTCTCCACCTTGTTGTTTTACGGGGTATGACACGGTCAAGTATATGAGCATGAACATCTTGGACTGCACGCATTATACTAGTGTCATTAATACTGATAATTTGAAGGGTGTTGGACCCCTGGATTGGGTTTATGGTATGAAATTGTCTTATTCAGTGCCGGAAACTGGATGTGAACGGTGCACTCGATCCGGTGGTACTTGCGGCTACGATACTGAGACTGCAGTGATGATGTGCCTCTGCTCTACTTCTACGAATGCTACGAGAGAGTGTGGTAAGATTGTTATTCAAGACTGTAGATTAAGGTTTTAATATCGAACGGCATATCTATCAACTAAATCCTCTTTTACATTACTCTGTTTTCAGCTACAGGTAGCATTGGAGATCTAGGAGGAGGGCAAAAGTTTACTTTATGGACAAATTTTCATGCATTTGCCTTGGTGATGGAAGCACTTATTTCCATAATAATCTTATAATGTTGAAACTTTTCATTCGTATTTCTTATGTTGGAGAGCAAACCACCAGAAATTTTTGAACAAAAAGAAAAAAGCACTTGAAAAGTGGTTCTAGAGTAGAGAATTGGAGTCGATGCCTGTATCGAAAATTTTGCAATGTAAAGCTATCTATTAACAGGAATCTCTGGTGATCCTGAAATTCCACTGGATTCAAAATTTTTTGAGCAATTAGAATCAGCATTTGGTGAATGGTGCAAGACACATTTTGTTGAGATGAAATTATTATTTGCAGCGCAAGAGCCGTGCATTATCATGATGACCGACGTGTTTCAGACTTTCTGTCTGAAATATCACTCTTTTTCTTCTTTCAGAAACTTGAAAGTCAACCATTTCGGAAATATAATTGTTTCCTGTGAAATTGTGTAATTGTGCTTGGATTCAGGGAACTCTGCTTGAGAAATCTCATGTCTCGTAAAACAAGGTTTGATTCTGTTTATAAATTTCGCAGCCCAAAACGACAGATTATATGTGGGAGGACTCACTCTCTTTTTTTTTTTCACTCATTATTTGACCGTTGAAAGACGCAGACAGATTTCCACTTTTACAATTGTATTTTTCTCTTAATTTTTATTTTGGTCTTGGGCTCTTGGCAAGTTGTGTTGGTATCTTCTATAACATCATACATTAAGTGATCCCGTCAGTACCCAAATCACCGAATTTCGATCATCAACTTGGTTAATACGCCAGCTAAAGGCAATTCGATCCACCCCTTTAAGCTGGAAACTTCCCTTGGTTTAAAGGAAGCAAAAGGGGAGTAGCAGGGTTTCTTCTTTCTTCCCTAGCTAGTTCAACTGTTAATAATCAGATAAAGCCTACTCCAACCATAGCACTCATCATTACAAGTGATTTTAAATGCAAAAAACTGGTGCACAATCACTTTCCAAAGAGAAGCACGTACAGTGTCACGGCCTGCACGTTTTTTATTCTAAAATCATGCGTCCGTACAATATCAAAAGTACTCGTAATCAAGATCAGTTTTTCTCGAATTTATTTTTTCCTGTACAGCTCAATATAGATTTTTCGAGCAGTATATTACTGAGTTCTTTTCTCAAATCTGGTAGGGTTGCATATTCTCAAACTCAATAAGAAAAAATTCAAACTCCTATCAATACATCAGCTCACGATTTTTATGGTGACATTGAGCACTCATCTTAGCCTGCAAGGCTTAAGATCCAAAGTATTGACCCTTGATTTCTCGTAAGATCACACAGCTTAGATCTCATAATATTATTATTTTTTGATATGGTAAAAATCTAACACCATGTTTTCTTGTATCATACGCAAACTCTCGTGTCAAGATCTCACAGGCACAACACATATGCCAGTCAACAGTCAGCCTAAAACCTCTAGATTCATCTCATCTCATGAAACTCAATTCTTAACACCTAAACCCTTAGCCTCGATTTAGGCTGTCCATACGTATGATTGACAACCAATATCATGTTAGTCCCGCATGAAGTACTTAGGTGTGTTGCCCCAATTATAACGCCCTTTTACCGATTGGTCACAAGGGTCTAGCAACATGTTTGTGTCACGTCCTGAGCAGGCACACAGGCCCAAGCACCAGAGGTTAAGACTCGAGCACCAGGGGCATTGGTGGAAATTTGCACACTAGGCCTTGAAAATGAGTCCAGACCATTCGCACAGTATGCAAGCTTGCCCGCACAGCCAGGTCCAGGGCCGCAAGATGCCCACACCACATTCAGGAGGGCCCAATAAAGTAAATGTGCTCCAAGATATTCTAGAAGCAATCTGGATCAGCAAGAACCTTCAGCAGAATCTAGTTAACCCTAAAAATCAGGAAAGAGCAATTCCCTTATTCTCTTGTTTTCTCAAACTTGCGTATTCTATCTTTTTAGTTGTTCTAGTGCCCGCACGTTTGTGTTTTAGGTTGACTTAGGCTAAAATGAGGTGATTTCAAGCCTAAAGTTGCACGAATTTTGAGTCTTTAGTCGGAGCCCGTGACAATTGATATCAAAGCAAGTTTGATTCAAGTTTTGCTTGTGTTTGTGTGTAGGTTAGATCGCAGTTAAGGAGATGGTATCTCAGAGTGATGTTGCTAGCCAACTACCAGAAGCCCAAGAGCAAGGCTGTGGAAGGGGCAACAAGACCAGTTTGAGAGACATCTAGACTACCATGGACGGGAGGCTGTCCAAAATAAAGGTGAACATGGACGATGTGAAGGAGAAGCTTGATGATGTAGAGACTCACATTGAAGCGCTAAACTTCATAGGGGAAGAGCTCAAGGGTGAATTGCAAGTTGCTCTCAATGAAGGCCTCGATATGATCACCCAAAGGAACGAAATCTTTGAAGCCTAGGTGAAGACCATGCGTAATGGGATGGAGGTCATATGAAAAGAAATGAAAGAGCTTAAGGGCGAGCTCGCTGCTTGCAAGATGGCCATTAGGAATGGCATGTTTGTTGGAGTGTCTAAGACTCGTGTGAAGATTCTCAAGCCCAAAGAGTTCAAGGGGACAAGAGCTGCCAAGAAAGTAGACAACTACCTATAAGGGATGAAACAATACTTCTGGCCCACAGGCATACAAGACAATGCTACCAAGATAAGCACCGCTTCGATGTATCTTACTGATGTTGTTTTATTATGGTGGAGGCATAAGTGTAATGATGTGAGACATAAATGCGTCGTGATTGGAACCTGAGCAAAGTTTCAAAAAGAGTTTAAGGAGCAGTTTAACCTGGAATATGCCAATGAAGAGGCACGAGTAAAGTTGCGTAAGCTTAGCCAACAAGGGGACATAAAGGAGTGTGTCTAAAAATTCTCTAAACCGATGTTACAGATCTCGGATCTGAGTGAGAAGGAGGGTTTATTTGCTTTCATGGATGGGCTAAAGTTGTGGGTGAAGCACGAGCTACAATGAAGGAAAGTTCGTGACTTGGCTAAAACCATGACTACTGGCGAGTCCTTGGTGGAGTTCAAACCACAAAACAAGTTCAAATCTTCTAAGCCCAAGGAAAAAGGGTAAGGACAAAAAGGACCGAAAGAGACAATCCAAGGGAAAAGATCGTGACCAGCAGTCCAAAGATGGAGGATTGAAACTGTTCGAACAAAGATGACGAGAGAAAGCCACCAGCAAGGAAGTGGAAAGCAAAGAGAGACCGTGAGTCGATCTTATACTACATATGTAAAAGAGACCATATAGCATGCAATTACCCAAAAAAGGGTAAGCTGACTGTTGTAGACAAAGAGTCGAATGAAGAGCCAGAAGTAGAGGCAGCAAAGCTTGGGTTGTTGGTGCTCAATGTTATCTAAAGTAAGGGGAGTCGTAAGCCAAAGGGCTTGATGTTTGTAGATATGATGGTTATGAGCAAGAAAGTGAGCGCACTAATGGATACAAGTGCCTCACATTTGTTTATTTCAAGTGATAAAGCCTAGAAACTTGAACTGAAAGTGTAGAAAAAGATTGGTACCATCAAGATGGTGAACTCTAAAAAAGTTCTTACCATTGGAAGTAGCGTGGGGAGTAAAGTTGCAACTTGGAGACTGAAAGGGCAAGGAAACCATTAAGGTAATACCCTTGGATAACTATAAGTTTGTGATTGGGTTAGATTTTTTTATTTGGATTAACACCCTCTTTGTGTCTTTTGACAATTGTATATGCATTCTGGATGCATGGTGCCAATGTTTTGTACCATTGAAATGTGGGTTTGGGATTGAATTTAAGATGGTGTCGCCCATTCAATTTGCCAAGACGGTGAATAGGGATAAAGACACTTTCTTGGCAACCTTGAAGTAAAAGAAACTGAGGGAGAAAGAGACCAACACCCCCTTGAAGGGGCTAAAGGTGCTGGATACCTTTAGTGATGTGATGCCCACACAGCTACCTAGCAAGCTGCCACCTAAAAGGGAGGTGGACCATAAGATCAAATTGGTGCCTGAGGCCAAGCCACTAGCTAGAGCCCCTTACCTAATGTCCCTATCAGAGTTGGAGGAGTTGAAAAAATAGCTCAAGAAATTGATTGATACTGTCTTCATCAAGCCATCTAAGGCGCTATATGGTGCCTCGATTCTGTTTCAACGTAAACATGATGGATCGCTGCAGTTGTGTATAAACTATTGGCTTTGAACAAGCTGACCATCAAGAATAAGTATCCTATCCCACTTATTGCGAACTTGTTCGACCAACTTGAGAGTGCAAGATGGTTCACCAAACTGGATTTAAGGTTAGGCTACTACCAGGTTAAGATCGTAATGGAAGATGAGCCCGAGACAGCATGTGTCACCCGATATGGCTCGTATGAGTTCTTGGTCATACCATTCGAACTCACCAATACCCTAGCAACATTTTGTACAATTATAAATAAGGTACTACAGTTGTTCTTTGATCGCTTTGTTATGGTTTATCTTGATGATATTGTGATCTATAGCTAGACATTGAAAGAGCATTTAGACCACTTGAGACAAGTGTTTGAGGTGTTACGAGCGTACAAGCTGTATGTCAAGAAGAAGAAGTGCTTATTTGCCTAGCAAGAAATCCCATTATTAGGCCACATAGTGAGAGGTGATAAGATTTTCATGGATGAAGGCAAGGTGCACACCATCCTAGAGTGGGAACCACCAACCAAGGTCACTGAGTTGAGCTCATTCATTGGGCTGGTCAACTACTATAGGCATTTCATCAAAGGTCACTAAACCATAGCCATACCATTGACTGACTTGCTAAAAAAAAAGAGAGCATGAAAGTAGAGCGTAAGGTGTCAAAAAACCTTTGATTGGTTGAAGCAGACAATAATTGAAGAGCTAATCTTGGCTTTGCCATACCATGTTAAGTCGTATGAGATGTATACGAATGCATCAGACTACATAATAAAGGGTGCGTTGATACTGAAAGGTCATCTGGTTACATTTGAGAGTCGAAAGCTTAATGAGATCGAATGTAGGTACACGATCCAAAAGAAGAAATGATAGCAGTGGTGCACTACTTGTGCACTTAACGCCATTACTTGTTGGGGTTGAAATTTGTAGTCAAGACGGATAATGTGGCAACCAACGACTTTCAGTTACAAAAAAAGCTATCCCCTAAGCAGGCAATATGTCGGGATTTTCTTGTAAAATTTGATTACAAGTTGGAATACAAGCCTGGGCAGGCAAACCTAGTGGCTGACATGTTGAGCATGAAGGTGAGCCTAGTTGCCATTAGCCAACTAGAGGGTTTCTTGGTGCCAAGCATCAAGAAGGGGCTAATGCATAATCTTACAGCCATAACTTTCATCGAGCATACGAAGCAAGGTAAGACTAAACAGTTTTAGGTGCATGATGATTTGTTGTTTACCAAATATAGTAGGTTGTTTATGCCGTAGCATGGAAAACTCCGCAGGAAAGTTATGCACGAGTGCTATGATTCGAGATGGGCTGGACACCTTAAGGTGATTCGTACTTTGGCTTTACTAGAGGATTGATACTACTGACTGCATATGAAATAAGATGTGAAAGCCTATGTGAAAACTTATCTTGTGTGCCAATAGGACAAAATGGAGCTTAAAAAACTAGATGGTCTATTGAAGCCATTGCCAGTGCCAGAGCGACCATGTTAGAGCGCTACTCTGGACTTTATAATCAGTGTTCCCAAGATAAAAATGTTTAGAAACATCATGGTAGTGGTGGATAGGTTTTTCAAGTATGAGATTTTCATTCTAACAACCAAGAAGTGCCCAGCCGATGAGGCAACCTGTTTGTTCTTGAAGAACGTGAAAGTACTAAGGAGTGCTAAGAATCATTTTAGTAGTCGGGATAGACATTTTACGAGCAGATTTTAAACTAAGTTGTTCAAGCTATTGGGGTCAAACTTAAACTTTTCTACCAGTATGTATTCGTCAAATCGATGGGCAGATTGAACGTGTGAATGGACTATTAGAGGTCTACCTCAGGCATTATGTGAGTGCCACGTAAAAGGACTGACCAAAGTTGTTAGATATAACCTAGTTTTCCTATAACTTGCAGAGGAATGAAGCAACGAACTATAGTCAATTTGAGATTGTGATAGGTCAACAATCGCTAACCCCTGATTTGATTACTGTAGGTTATACAAGGCCGAATACAACAGCATACAAGTTTGTCAAGGCTTGGTAGGAAGAAGCCAATTTGGCCAAAATATATCTCCACAAAATCGCGAAGAGGTCAAAAAAATAGGCAAACCGAAATAAGAGGGATGTGCAGTTCCAACTAAAAAACTTGGTGTTGGTGAAGCTGCATCTCATTGTGCACCATAAAGGGCTATACAAAGGCCTAGTCTGAAGGTATAAGGGACTTTTCAAAGTAGTCAAGAAGGTAGGCCAGGTTGCCCACAAGCTGGATGTGCCACTCAAGTCGAAGGTACACTCAATGTTCCATGTTAGCATGCTCAAACTATTCCATGAAAATAAAAGAGATCTAGAACGAGCAAAGTTAAAATATGTACCTTTAAGAGTGAGGGCCTCATCTGAGAGGAAGGTCCACAACATCATTGCTGACCAGAAAGTGAGGCAAAAGAACTACCAACCAAGATAAGAGTATTTGATGTGCTCGAAAAGACTTTCAGACAGTGAGATAAGTTGGAAGCTAGTGAAAGACTTATAGTAATTTCAAGACCAAATCAGACAGTTTCATGTAGAGGACGCGACAAGGGTGTCATGCAATCAGGTGGGAGAAAATGTTACGTCTTATGAAGGCGCACCAAACGCATAAGCCCTAGCACCAAAGATCAAGGCTCAAGCACCAGAGGCATTGGTAGGGGTTTGTGCACTAAGGCTTGAAAGGAGTCCAGACTGCTCGCACAGCATGCAGGCCTACCCGTACAACCAAGTCTAGGCTTGCAAGAGGCCCACACCACACTTAAGAAGGTCCAAAAGAGTAAGTGCACTCCAAGATCTTTCAGAAGCAACCAAGATCAATAAGAGCCTTCAGCAGGATCTAATTAACCCTAAAAATCAGGAAAAAACCTTCTGTATTAATGTGTAATCTGTGTAATACTTGATTTTTAAAAGATATTGCAATATCATGATTTTAAGGACTAGCCATAAGTAAAGCTGAGAGCTTTAACTATAAATAGAAGGTCGTCTTACCCTATTTCGTATATCATCAGACACTTTACTTTAGTAATATATAGTGCATAATCTAATAATTCTCTTATTCTCTTGTTTTTTTTTCAAACTTACACATTCAGTCCTTCCAATTATTTTAGTGCCCACATGCTTGTGTTCTAATTTGACATAAGCTAAAAAGAGGTCATTCTAAGCCTAAGGCCGCACAAATTCTAAGTCTTAGGTCGGAACTCATGACACTTGCCTGCTAACCCACTCATTTTTCAGGCTTGATGGTGCCCTTCCCACACAAACACCAACTTATGATCCTTTTGGCTCAAGAAAAGAAAATCGAAAGGTATAACGAACGTTATTGCCTAACCCTATGGCTCAACGCGAAGGTGTAATACGAGGCCCATTGGCTCCAACCGTCTCTGAGTTTACCATGACTCGAGAAGACACCGTATCACACTCGTGATCTTACGATGCCTGTTCACCTAAATACCAAATGTGTTTAGGAGTAGCTCATTTCAGACAACCAGGCCCTCGCCTGCCCACTAGCCAAATAGGTAATGAAAAGCTGACACCAGTCATCACCCTATAAAAAGTGTAAAAGATTTTTCAGGTCTTCTACAACTTAAAACTAGTTGAAATGGAAACATTTTTCTCTCTAGCCATCTCAGGGCTTTTATCCAGTTAACTCAAGGCCCTGTGACCTTCTTCCTAGTCACCATAATTATTTGATTTTGCTCGTTGCTCTATTAACCCACTTGAAGATGCTCGCACATGACTTTGATTGATAGCACCTGACTGGTTAACCAGCTCCAGGATACTTGCCCACTGCCTCGCACTTGCTTGCGTATGTTGGGGCCTAGAACTCACACTACCTACACATAATATCAGCAACATATTTCCTTGCTCAAAATACCCACACACAACTTCGACCGATGGCACCCAACTAACTACCCTGCTTGAGAATGCCCACACACTAGCTCGAACTTGCCTGTATATCTTGCGAACCAAAACTCACATTGCTCGCACATTATATCAACAATATATTTTTGTGCTTAAAATGCCTACATACATGCTTAAGAACCACGGTCCTGCAAACCCGGCCTCGACAGCTGCTCCACATAAAGTTAGTCATGGCAGAACCAAGGCACACCAAGACCTGACCATGACACACAGGCTGAAAAACTAATCTCACCCTTTTGTCCCAATAAATAAGGTCCTTACTTGATAAAGAAGATGCATCACATGAACATTGCAATCTCCATCCCATTCAACTTTGCAAGTTGCCATGTTTATCTTGGTTCATGCCTGAGACGGAATAGAAGGTACTATTATAGGTAACGTCTGTAATTGGTTCAGTTATTACAAGTTCTCAGAATGTTATGGCCAGATTAAATTTGAATAGCTCCCGGTACCATGATACAAACACCACGGAACTCGAGCTACAATCAGGTACAGCAAACTCTTCTTCAATCAGCTGCCCACTTCATTCCTTGGCCTCGACTTCCTTTAGAAAAAGGAAAATAAATAAAAGCAAATGCTTAAGAATCAAATCATGGACAAAGTCAACAACACCTACACGCACTCAAATTGCGATTTTTTTTTTCAAAGCAGGGCTTTTATCCAAACCAGTTCTGACTTTTAGCCAGTGGAGTATAACAAAAGAAAAGTGTTGAGATGAAGATTTTCTTTACCCAACCTTGGTACAAACATAAATGTAATGGACGTCAGGGTTCCTTCCAAGTACATCTTCCACTGAGCTTCCACTATCCTCCGATGGAACAGGGTTTGTCAATTCTCTCATTGGCTGGTCAGAACTTCCTTCTTATCCAAATTTCGCTGCAAATAGTAGACAACTAGTATATTACTACTTTATGTGTATTAAAAGCGCATTATCCATGCCAGACTCTGCTACATATGGAGGATGAAACTAGTATATTACACTACACAAGGCGAGAAATGTAAGGAATCAACAACATAATAACCAGGATGGGAATTCAATCAACCTATCGCATGCAGTTTTATGCTCCACATGCATCACTCTTTCAGCAAGCCAAGACGATAAACTGGAGCTCCATACGTTATCTGCAGCACTTACAAAACAGTTAGGAAGCAGAAAATTAACTGCAAACACACATTGCAATCCGAAAGCAGGAAATGAGAATAACTCAAATCCAAGCTTAAGAAAAGGTTTTGAATTGAACTGCAGAAAGGAAGAAATGCCACATGAAAAGAACACAAATTTTTACGCAAGGGAATAAAAGGAGAGTATAGTTACCAGAAAATAGACTCCTTCATCCTTCAGGACCCTAAAGTTTGTTATCAACTGCTTCAATATATGGTGAATGGATCAAGAAAACCCATAAAAGGAAATTGTAATGTAGACAATTCTAGTTAACTTTTAAGGTTTATTACTATACCTCCAGATTTCCTCAAGCATTTGAGTACCATTCTGTCTTGAATTATTTCCACACTGCAGACAAAAAATTTCCCATCAGCTTATTACCGAATCAGGTCTCATCGAAGACAGAAGAGCTACAATTCATAAGTCATAGCACTTACAAAGATAGAATCAAGAGTCCCTGAAACACCATTTCAAATAAAAAACAGTAAAATTTTAAAGCCAACAATCATTAAATTAAATTAACAAATTAACGAAGCCAAATGGAACCTTTATCAATAACTGCATCAAAGGAACCAGCTTGCAATGGACTCATATCTCGTACAACTAATTTAATATCTGCAAAATCATTTCATTTAAGAAATAAAAAGAAGAACATGTCAAAAACTTTTCATTTCCTTGTATTTTTTTTTACTGTAAAAAATTTCAACACAAAGTCATTCTATAAGGCTACATTTTAGCCGTTGACTTCTATAAGGAAACATTTTAGGGAGTACTTAGCTTGCATAGCTTCGACGACCACAGTGGATATATCAACGTTGACAACATCCTCGTATCCATCGTTCACCATGTCTTCACTAAACACTGCAAAATGTTGACTTTTGTTACATAAAAATGAGAGATCTGAAATGGGTATGCATTAATTTTGAGGAGCTGGTACCTGAGTTGCCGCAGCCGACAACGAGAATGCGTTGATGGCGGTTGGGGACAAGGTGGATAAGGGGAGCTAAGGCAGGGTATTTTTGGTACCAATCAACGGGAGCTGATTCTGGGGCGTAGCGGTTGTCCCAGTATCATAGCTCACCGTATGCTTGAGTTGATGGTGTCCCCAAGGTCATCCTTTCTGCAACTCTGTCTGTTAAGCAAGTTGATGTTGAAAATCGTACTTGGATTTGGATTTGAAGTGTTGGCAGTTTGATTTATGGCTGAACACCCTGGAGCTTTGTTGGGATTTGGCATGTTTATCATCAACATCAAGTTCAATGTATTTCGAACACGTGTGTTTGTTTTTAATCCACCTGATTTTCTTTTTGTCGATTAGAACTTAGAGCTCATTCATTGAATAGTCTTAAACCAACTCACAGTCATAAGTCATGTGAGGAACATGCTACATATGGACGTCGGCCAAAATCATAGGAAGACAGAATAAAACGTGAGAAAACGACCGAGATCTTGTAACTAACTATAAATAATAATAATAAGGCCCCTTAATTCGGCTTGAAACCCCACCTTTTTTTTTTTTTTTTGACTAATAACTAGGCTTCAGCTTTTGAACCTTTATAGTCCAATAATGCAGAGTAGTAAAAAAGGGCTTTGAGCTTTGGGTATCCGCTTGCCAGGCCCAATCGTCAGTTGAAAGGGGCAAAAATGAAAAAAGCTGGAGTCTTTGGGTATCATCGACTGAAGAAGGAACGAAGCAAAACAGCCAAGACGTAGAAAAACCAAAAAATTTTGAGAGTTGGACTGGGTGAGTGAGAGATAAATCTGTATACGGAAACGTGAAGGAAGAAAGATGTCTTCTTCTTCTTGTAAAACATCGGAATTTGAAGCGGCAGGCTTTGATTCGGTGGGGCAAGACGACATCGGCGGCGGCGGCGTGCAAGTGACGAGCTTCACAGAGCTCGTGGATGACGTGACCCTCCACTTTCAGATCATTCGCCTCCCTAAACAGGTATGTTATCCTCTTTATTTTTCTACTAATGAGTTTGGGATTACAAGTAATTATTTATTTGATAGATATACGCATGGATTGGCTGTAACTCTGCAAAACTCGGAAACTTGTATGCCGCTGCTCACACACGACCTGTAAGTTTTATTTTTCTTCAATTCATTACTTTTAATTATCATTATGATTTGTTGCCGAAAACTAAAACAAGATTTTTGGCTATCAACAGAGCAATACGGTGAGCGTGACTTCCATACTTGGGGGTGCTTCAGATAACACTGGCTCTGGAATTGCTCGACGATTGGGTCATTTTCTTTAATTTTACCAACATGTTATTACTATATATATTTTGTGGGGTTTAATTCAAAGTAAATTGATTGTTTTGCAGTGCTTAAGACTGGTCTTAATGTAATTGTGGCTTGCAATATCCCAAAGAATAGCCCCATGCTTGAGGTTTTACTTTTTTTATTCCCTCTTTCTCTTGTTGCCAATGCATATCCTTTCAATTCATTTCACTAGTCTATTGACAAATTTAACATAATATATTGATCTTTGTGTTCATATCATCATTTTGTTCCCCATTTTCTTCTGGATTTTTTTCAGGCAAATGCTGAAAAGAAGTTGGTAGAGAAGCTAATTGCCCTGGGCCACTCAAGGTCAAAATCTCCAGCCGCGGGGCCAGTGTTGTCTTCTTCATAGCTAAAAACTGTGATTCATATGTGCATTGTAGCAGCAAACCAGTAGATTGTACTAGTCTGCAATGTAGAATCAGTTATGGGATCCTTTTTGACTCATTTTATTGATCCAGAAATTTAACCAAGAAAACATACTGAGCCTGGCTGCGAGTCCCGGACAGTGAGGATGTAAGCTTTTCTGTTATGTTATGTGCTTTGTTTCTTCATGTCAGAAACAGAAAAGTTGCAATTGCGTAGTTGTTTTCGATTGTCTCCCTGAATTTTATGGGTTTGAGTGCTACTTTTCTGCTTATGTTTGTATGGGTGGTTGATTCTATGTTTACTACTGAGCTTAATGATGGTTTAACCCTGTTTTGATCCGAATTTGGATGTCAAGTTTTTTATTGTTAGAACTGAATTTGAGCAATGAACATCATGCTATGCTCAACGTTCAAATTATAGTATGTATGTCATTTACCCCCATGGATGCAAAAGTTTCCTGCAAAATGGAAACTTAGACTTAAATGGTTGAACACCAGTTCTCAACGTTAATTGAGCCACAGTTCTCAACGTTAATTGATTCTGTCACTTCTTTGTACTGAAAGGATAGCCATGTTAATAACTCCAGTTACCCAAGTGGGCGCACGTTGGAGAGCTCATGGAGCTCAAGAATCTCAATTATTCTTTTCCTACTTTGTGGTAGCCTTAAAGTTTAGACCATGGACAAGGCTCTGGGAGATTCTACTTTAGACGGGTGCGATGATCTATTCTAGTACTTCAACAGTTCATATAGCCACTAGCCATGGAAGACCCTCCTAGGGATGTATCAGTACTCAACAATATCAGCACTTTTAGACCATGGCAACAGTCCAACGGTTACGACCCCCACCCTAGTCTGGTGGGTGATTGGTAGAGGCCAACAGGGCTGACCCTTGTTTGTAATGACCCTCCTAGAAAAATAAATAAAAGTAATAAAATGAGATCCACTGTTACAATTGTAAAAATGTGATCATTAGCCATGGAAGAATTTTCAACAAGCGTTCTGTTTTATTTTCGTTGCAAAACCTCAATTTAACATCTAGATATTTTAAAAATTTATTATGACATATAAATTAAGGTTTAAATCTAAATTTGTGATATGTCTTTAATGGAACAAAATTATAAGATTTTTATATTAAAATGAATAATATCTTATAGGTTAGGTGCGAATCTCTAAAAATATTATAAAAGTGATTATTAGTGGAACGGAAGTTAAGTACTACACTATGAGAGCCACTTCTAAAATCTCGATAGAGTTAAGTGTTACATAATTGAAATCACCTTTAAAATTCTTAAGTCTGGTGTGATCTTAATTTTGTGATTCTATGTGTATGGTTATGTGCTTATATGTATTTTTGTGTTGAACTTGATGAAAATATCAAGATTTAACATAAGAAATTTGTGACACTCTAATCTCATATCAGAATGTTTTAAAAATTTGTTATAATACACAAATTGAGGCTTAATATATAAGTGGAAACTTAAACCCTAATTTGTAATATGTTTTTTGTGAAATAAAACTGTGATAATTTCGAATTAAAACAAATAATACCTCATATACATATCTCCATAATCATTTCAATGGATTGTAGAGCGTGCGAGGGAAAGGTATCTCCATGGTAGATTCTTAAAAGCCTATTGCTTGAAAAATGCTTCTTTCAATTTGAAAACCTTAATTACTTGATGTTCATTCAGCAGGTAGAATGGATTTTTGTTGATTTATCACAACAAATCCTCTCTAAGCAAAGGATAAGAGCTCAATCCTCAAAAGATTTTTTACGTTTGGAATTTGTACCCAAAGACTTGTCTCCATGGCTAATCCAGGCTCCAGTAACCTATTTATGATTTTATGCAAGCAATGCCTGGTTCAGTGTTTTGTTAATTTCTGCTGCATCCTATTTATGCCCTTATAACCTTATTTTTGTAGCTCGTTACAAATGGTAATGAGACTATTCATTGCGGAAGTTGCAAAGCAACATACTAACCCAGCCATTGCATACCAAAGATACAGTCATTTTCGTTACTTACAAAGAATGGCATACAAAAAATATGAATCTGGTAGATACAAATGGTATTATTAATTTCTTTATATATACTACTATTTTTTATCAGGTAATGTTATCATTATCACCTGTTGTTTTTTATATGGGAACTTCACTAACTTAACTTAGCCTATTATATATTTTCTGTGCTCACAGGAAACTGGTCTTGTACCCAAGTGGAATCAAAAGCATGAAGAAATGTGAAAATTTTACATAAATTTTTTAGATTTTTTAAAGAATTTTTTTTATAATTTTTTATAAATTTTAAAAGTTTTTAAAAATTGTTTAAAATTATTTAAAATTTTTTTAATGATGACATGGTATCGATGATGTAGCGTTGATTGAATTTTTTTACACATGTCAATATTTTATTTGATATTCATATCACATCAACAAAGTTGATTAATGGCATTAGTATAAAATATCAACATAATAATGGAATGAAAGTTTACATATGAATATGATGGTTTTATTTATTTAGGCATCAAACTAACAAAAAATATAAAGTTCATAAGCCATTTTTATCTTTAACCCAAAATAAAATCTCATCCAAGGAGGATGAGGTTGCTCCTTTGGATTTGTCTATAATAAGGTCATAATTTATCGACCTCATGAGATATTATATTGAAAAATTATAAAAATTATAAAAAAATGAAAAATAGCAGATTAACAGATCTACTAAAAAATATAAAAATAAGTTATTTATAACAATAAAAATTTACAAATATATATTATAATTGTTTCATTATTTTAAATAATAACATAGAAAATATACAATAAAATATAGCTATATTATATAATTTAATAAAAAATATTTTGTTATTTCTTTATTATAAACAAATAACAATATTACAACAATAATTAATACAAATTTTATTATTCATCTTAATAATTTTTTTTTAGTTTTAAAATATCTGTCTTAACGTCTAGATCCTGGGATCTATCGCTAGAAATTGACTTTTAGGAGTCGTCACCAATCTTTTTTATCTAGGTGCGATTGGCCACCTAAAGAATCTGTTCTTTCAGGGAACACCTTAGTTTAAGGGTCCCTAAAAGAATAGGTTCAAGTATATTAACCAGAACAGGATTCGGGAGTTCGGTTACGTGTGAGGAAGGTTATAGCACCCTCACAACGCCCATCAAAAGATGGTATCAGCTTAAATTTGTGTTATCCAATGAGCCTTAAAATTTTATCAAGTAATTAATTATTGAAAATTATTCTCAATTGACTTTAATACTTTTAGTAGAAAATTAAGAAAATCCCCTCACTTCAAGAGTATGTAAGAAAACTACTATTTCACTTACAGAGGCTCCATTGTCGGATTATTTAACATAAACAAATAAAAAATAAAAAAAACGAAGAAAAGAATGATTGTTCTTGTGCAGGAAAAATTGATACTTTCAACTTTTCCCCAAAATATTTTTTTTTTAAATTTTAATCTCGAGTAAAATTGATACTTTCAACTTTTTCACAAAATATCTTTTGAAACTTTAATTTCAGGAAAAATTGATACTTTCAACTTTTCCTCAAAAAAACCTTTTTTGAAAATTTATTTTTAGGAAAAATTGATACTTTTAACTTTTTCTCAAAAACTTTTTTTTTAAAATTTATTTTTAAGGAAAATTGATACTTTCAACTTTTTTCCAAAAATATTTTTTGGAAACTTTGATTTTCGAGGAAAATTGATACTTTCAACTTTTCCTCAGAAAAACTTTTTTTGAAAATTTATTTTTAAGGAAAATTGATACTTTCAACTTTTCCTCAAAAAAACCTTTTTTTGAAAATTTATTTCTTAAAAAAATTGATACTTTCAACTTTTCCTCAAAAATATTTTTTTTAAAATCTTTTTATCGTCAAGAGTTATTTAAAATATGCTCGACAAATCAAAATTTCCTGTGAAACAGTTTAAACTTACTTGGTATCCAACACGAGAACAAATGAACAGCTTCTTGCACCACCTTTGCTTACGAGATGGTGATGGAATTAAGTGCATCGATTCTTGGCCCTTTAAGACACCGATATATGTATGATGTTTCAACAAAGTCAACCATCTCCTTCTCAATAGCAAACCTAGTCACTTCAACCACTAGGCGAGGCGTCACATGGACAGTCTCCTGGCAACCTTGGTGAGTTAGTTTACAGGAGGACATCCAAAGGAACCTCATGTTATAGTAGCGATGCAAACCAGAAAACAAAGCTGCATCCCCAAATGGGCCAAGGCATCCTAACAAGAAGTGAAGTTTTGTTGCTGTATCTAAATCCCTTAACAACTGCAACAACTACCATTGTTTTAATAACAATCACTAATATTACACATGAATCAACATCCCCAATACTGGCCAGGAAGAGAGCAACAAAGCAATTGCGAATTTGCTCAACTTGTTCAAGTGTATGCTGATTCAGATCAGAGGTTGATATCATCATTCCAGTAACAAATGAACCCAGCTCATCACCAAGCAACAAGCAAGCAAAAATGCTATGGATGTTAACTGATAGAGCTCCTTAGTCAATGATTTAGTCGTGGATAGTACTCCTTGAAGGACACCAGAACTGCCACCTAGAACTGAAGTAAAGCAAACAGCAAACCCACAGCACAATCCTCTACATAACTGCAAAAAGCATATAGCGAAATTGTTATACCACACGAACACGTGAAGAGAAAATTTTGAAGAAAACCTCCAAGGACAGCAACTGCTCGAACAACACGAAGCTTTGTTGTTGAAAACTCCAAGCTTGATGCGTGAATCCTTGGCTGCATATTTTGGTGTAATTGATTGGGCTGCTGTTGCAAACCCAGTTGTTGCTGCAACTGAGTAGGCTATAATTGCATCTGTGACATTAGTTGCTGCCTTTTGCATCATCCAATATGTGCTTTCAAGGCGTTCATGGATGCTTGACCGTAAGGATTCCAAGCTCTGAGGTGCAATTGCTCCCACCTGTGACAAACTCGCCACTACCGACAAAAGAGAAGCCTTAGCCATAAAATTCTGATTATTCAACAGCTTGCAGATCCTTGGACACAACTTCTGAAAAGCAGCCAAAAGAGGATCAGTTGCACATTCCACCATCTTAGCCATACACGTTGCTCGACGTAACAAAGTGGAGCGCATTTTCCATCGTGTTCTCCAAAATAGGTTCTACAGGTGATCTTTCACCTCTTTTTTGAAGCAAAGCCTTCTTTCATGGACTGTCGCCATGGCTCCTAAGTCTGAGACAGAGACAACTACGATTGGGCTCAGTTTACGCCTGTGCCAGCTTTTGTTGCTCAACAGACCTGCTCATGTGCTCAAGCAACTGAGCAGCCTTCCGCTTGCCCCTGTCTGTATCATTTTGTGCCAAGTCCACCAAAGGACTCGTCGCTCCTAGTTCCTAAGCCTCTGCTAAATGTTGTTGGTCTCCAGCACAAAGGTGAACTAAAACTGCAGCTGTATTCTCTCTATTCCTACTGTCCAGTCTTCTTTTCGGTTCTTTTTTTTTGTGCCAGCAGCCTCACGTTCCCTTGCCTGCTGTCAAGTTTTTCTCCCTCTGATTCCTCTCTGTACATGGCTGCCACTCATAGTGAAAGAAAGTGACACCAGAAGGAATAGAGACGCGCAAAAAAAAAAAAAGAGAAGTGTGGCAACACCAATGCCAGATGTGGTCACTGGGCAAAAGGAGAAGCGGTTGTTGGCGTCTTGGGGCAAAAAAGCAGGTGTCGGCGCCTTGGGGCAGAAAAGCTCGATGAAGTGGGAAGTGGGGAAGAAAAAATTTTTTTCTTTTTTTTTTTCCCACTTCAGCTTGTATATTCATTATTGATATATAGACCCATGCTGATAGAGTTTCAATTCAATTCCAATTAGTCATCCAATGCTAAAGATTAGCATCTAGATAACAATCATCACAATCACCAAGCTTAATCTCAATCTTTCAGCTTTTTTCCTTTTTTTTTTAATTAATCAGATAATCAAAAGAAAGAAAAAGAAAATAAATCATAAAATAAAAATAAAAATGATAAATATGAAAAA